AAGGCACAGAATCAGATACCATCCTAGCAGTGCAGGTGCCTCAGGGCTGAATCTGGCTTTGAAGTGGAATGTGGGAGAGAAGAACGGGTGATGTCCTAAATGCCTTCAGCTTTCACTGAGGTCACTAGCAGCATGGAGTGGCTGAGTATAAAATAATGAAGACCAACTTTTGGGAGGTTTTTGGCACCAACAGAATCAGGGCACATTAGCAGCTGACGCAAAGGGAGCTGGCCTAAGGCAAGCACAAGCCCAAGGCCAGGTCATGCAGAGTTGGCACACCATGCAGACTGGGCTGCGTGGTAATCTTAAACTCTGTTTAAACAGTTTGCAACAGTTGCTGTAATTTTGAAGGAGTGTTGCTTGCCAGCAGTAGGCTGTACCACTACAAGATTGAGTCATAGATGTCAGAGCTCTGTTTTTATACAAAAAAATCTCACTGATAGGGCAAAATTCAGAACACCAAATATAAATGTGTGTTTAAGTTTGAAGTGGTCTCAAGAAAAATGCAGTGAAACAGTGAAAATCTGTATTTTTTTATAATGAACTGATTAACCTGCTGGTTTCAGTAGGATGACAGCCAAGCAAACAAAAGTGAAAATCTACACAGGGAGTGCCTTACGTGTCTCTCGCTGGCTGTCAGCCCATTGTGAAGTTCAGACTACAATTCACTTCAGTCTTGCTGCAAGGTACAGTCAGGAACCTATCATTATTGCTGTAACAAAGGATGTCTTAAAATGTTTTTACAAACTCTTTTATTAAGGTTTACAGTAATTGGAGTCCAGTTCAAAGTAGACATTACTTTTTCTGTAATTGAGGTGAGATTCAACCATGTAAAAATAAAGAATCTGGATTTGAAGTGCAAGAATTACAGCTAATAGATTTTAGTCAGGACATCACTTTATGCAAATCTTCTGGGAAGAATGTGTTTCCTGCTAGGTGCTGCACGTCACTGCCTGCATGCCAGTCTATAGGCATGCAGGCTTATTTTACTTTTCCCCCGTGCTTTTTTGCTGCATCGCTTTTCTAGTGTGGATACTAGATGTGCTGGCATCCCTTTGAAATTCAGCACAAAGTTTGTAACGTCAAAGCTAATGCCCTTTACAAAGCATTGCCAAATTTTCATCTCTTCTGTTACATGTTCTGTTGAATACAAGATAAGGGAAGGATAATGTGAGAATCTGACACTGTGTTTCCAAAGGTGATCAGTCCGATAGACTGTTTAAATTGAAAAGACAGACAAAACCAGAGATGGGAACTGGAAGAATGGAGACAGCGAAATTCCCTTCAAAAAATCCCAGAAATTGTTACCTCTACCTTCAAAAACAAATGAAGAACCATTCAAGTCTTACTGATGTCAGCTACCTCCCCTTCATTAACTCCATTGCCATAAAATAACGTGATAAGCAGTCCAGTAGCAATTGGCCACCTGCGCTCGCAGATCATGACTGCAGTTACGAATCCAGTAGACCGGAGTAGCCTCCCACCCAGGTCCCACTGCACAAACGAAACCAAACTCTTCATCAGCTGCGCTCCTTGGCCAGTACTATCTGAACAGCAAGTAACCTGAAGTAGCTGGGACTGGAAAGAACCACACCAAGCCAAACAGCATGATATAGTTTCTGGTCTCATCCTCTGACTAATTTTCCCAGCATCTCAGAATATATTGCGAAGTCCTTTTTCTTTACTCCCCTATAGTAGAAGGGGTTTGTAATAGAAGCTGCCTTGCTTTTGTGTTCAACACTTTTTCTGTAAGTGTTTACAAAATACTGCAAAATGACAAAAACTGGTGAAGCTCTATGAAGCATTTCAAGCCCACCCATCATTTTATGCGAAGTACTGCACAACTCTGCTGAAAAACAGTGTTAATGCACTTTGCTGTAGAGCTTTTAAAACAGTGTCCAGAAAACTCTCCCAGCTGGGAGAAGCCCTGCAGGATGTCTCCTGCCCCACCCTTCCCCAGCTGCACGTGGGACCATAGAGAGGGACCAACCCGCTGAAATCAGAATCTTCCTTCTAGTGATGGGGGAGGCAGTCCAATAATAACTAATGTTTTGGGAGCCATTTGCTCCAAACATTATTAAAAACCACCACTATAAACCAAGTCTCAGCATGCAGCAAAGTTTTTATAGCTGAGGAGCAATGATGGGATTTATGATTCAAACACTGATGGAACCTTAAATATAGTGATCCAAGTGGGAGGCATTTTGTTCAAATGTACTCTTTCAGGTTCTAAATGCTTAAAATAACAGAAAGAAACACCAGGAAAACAGCATGGGCCATCTTCATTTAAGGCTTTCTTCACAGTTCAAGTTACTTTTGAGTCAGTACTCTCAGGATATCCTCTTTGAGCTGGTTTTGAGTGAAAGATCACACTTCAGAACAACTCTTGGTTTTCAGAATACGTCTGCAGAGTCTCCTGCAGGCAAGGCTGCGAGGGCTCGGCCGTGTGCCCAGCTGCCTGGCAGCGTGGCAGGCAGCTGAATCATTCTGCCAGCAGCAGAGCTGGATCAAAAGTCTACTGTCCCCCTCAGCTCTGCCAGTTCCACTGCTTAGTGATGGCTCTCTAGCCTGGTTCTGTGATGTGTGCTGGTTGATATTAGAGCTCCTTCTGGTACTCCTAAATAGTTCATCTGACTATGCTGTGGGCTCAGGGCTTCAACAGAAATCCCCACGGCGTATCATTAGCTTAAGCATCAGCAGCACTCCAGCTACAATCTTTTCCTGCTACTGAAAAGGGAATCTTTGAAATGTCACTAATCTAAGGCTGGGGCCATTCATGTGTAGAAAGAGATCACACTGGGAATAAAATATGAGTTTAACTCATAATTTAACCACGCAGGAGTACATGCCATTCAGCTAATAGTCCTGAAACAATCTTCCCACAACATAATGGATTCTGAATTGCTCTGCGCAATTTGAGTAGCCAGTTACGCCGGTGCAAAGCAACACAACTACTGTCTGCCCTGCAGAGACCCGACACTGCAGTGGTGCTCTCCGCTTTGCTCAGGGGCAATAGATGGGACATTGCGTTATAGGAACTTGTCACGTTCATCTGGGACAGCACACAGAGCTTTGAGAAAATGCTATCGAACATTTAATGATCAGTTATTATTGGTGGTATTTTTACATCTGACCTAAAAATGGCTACAATGAAGAGAAATGTATATAGGTTTTACATGCCCTTAATTTGCAACACCTGTCTATAGACTTTAGTTCATGGTCATATGAATGATCTCTTAAGGATTGTTTCTTCGTTCATGAATTAAAGACCCCATGCAAAGTAGTTTTGTTGTGCCCTAACACTATAAGCAAGTTGTTGAGAGAGGCACCAAGTTAATGTTTGTATGGCTAGAGGATAACAACTACAGCAAATTAATTACTGCTTTGCTTGGCTGACATCTTCAGCAATGCCTTCAGCATGCTAATTCAATGCAGCTTAATCATATATTCCTGAAACCAAAGGGCTACAGAGATCTGTTTCCCCAGGATGCCATTTAAATGAGCTGTTCACTTCAGATACTTTCAAAAAAGTAAGGTTCGTGGAGGTGATGAAGCAGAAAATAGAGAGGAAAAGTGCTGAATCACTAACTGTGGTCTGTGCTTCTTTATATTTTTTATTTTACTTTTCATTTTAAAGGAAGGCAGGAATGTGCATTTGAGGGCAGTCTTTATTCATACACAATACCAACCTTTACCTAAAATATTTTTATTTGTCTGTAGATTTGTTGTACATTTAGTTGTGATTATACACAACCTAGTAACACTGGCATACATTTACTGATGCTGCTTCTCAAAAGGCTTCACTTGCTTTAAAAATGCCATTGTCCCTTGCACTGTATTTGATTTTACATGCTGTGTAACTTTTTACTATTGTGCTGCTCTAAAATGGCTTCAGTTAGAGGTCTCTCAGGACTTTTGTTCAGTTAGAAGTCCACCAAACAACAGCAAAAGAGTAAAGAGTATTGACCTTCAGTGAAAAGCTTTTTTTTTTTTTGTTTTGTATGAGATGTGATTAAACCTGTTTTTTGGCCATTTTGGGGCATTTAGGATGAACACTTAAGTTCAAGAGTGACAGATTTAAGTTCAGAGGTCTAGACGTATGAGCAACTCTGACAGTTGCTGCTGTACAGGTGACTGAAACTTGCTATGACACTTCCTTAGACTGTAAATGAAGCCTTGACTGGAGTTGGGACGGGGATTGTGCGTTCGGTTTGGAGAATGTATAATACTGACAGTATACACAGTATATTCCATTAGCTTCACACCACCCAGGTGGATGCTGATACAGTACCTCCACAGAAATAAGGTCACCAGCGTTTTCCTGTGTCTGAGGAGTGAAGAATTAAACTAATTAACTACAGCACGAAGATGCCTACTGTGTCACCTGAACTTACATCAGAAAGTCACAGGAGACAAGGGGGAAGGCCTACAAATTGGAACTCTTCCAGGCAGGAGAATGTTCTGCCCTGACAACAGTTTTCTGGTAAAGCTGATACAACACTTTCTGTATAGCTCCACTGATAAAAGTGGTGCCACTTGCCTGCTAAGAAGCTACTCAATACAGCCTCAACACACATCATCTGAGCTCACTCACACTTCCTTTGTTCAATATTTTTTCTACTACCTGAATATGTCTGGGGTGTAGGGTTAATTAGTGAGAGGGCTGCTCCTTACAAAGGCGAAACAGGCAACCCCTACTGTCATCCGCTTTGCCTTTTGAGATTCTTTGTTAGAGAAGGAGCCCCAGGGAAGAGCCTGGCAGAAGGATACCCTAAGGAAACCGTTTGATTGACTGTGGTAAAATGAAATACATTAAAAAGTACCTGTGAAACCTTCTGTTGCAGTAAGTTGGAGGCAATGATTTCCTTTGCTTTGAAAGGTACCTTAGCACAACTAGCTATTTCATAATAATCAAATATATTTACTGGTGTTGTTTTATCTGTGTGGTACTAAGCTGTGGTTTGTTTTTTTCTTCTTCCTCTCCTTCTCCTTCCTCCCAGGATGAAAAGAATCAAGTATTAACAACAAACATCTGGCTACAAATGGTAAGTTTTGAAACAAAGTATGGGTTTTTTCCCCTTTAGTGTTTGAGTTTAATCTGCTGAGAGGTTTGACTTTTAGGAAACTTTCAAGCTTTTGTTCTGTATCTTGCTACATAGTGGACAAAGCTAAACTCAATGGAAAACTGTAAGGCTGAGATTTAGGTCTTGATGTTTTAGGTATTTCTGAAAACTTTTAACAATTCGAGTCACTACATCTAAGTAAGTGACTACCTCATGTAGTTGATTTAGTCACGCTAATCTCTTGATTGTCATAAGATAATGGTGTCCTGAGAGTCCCAGGTAGAGTAACTGTAGTGCGAGTGCCTTATCACTCATTTCAACAAATCCATTATGTTGTGGTAAATCACTTGATTGTGAAAGAGAACGATACATGCAAGAAATGCATTTTATCTGTAATGCCTGTTCTGATCAGCACTCTGAAAATCACCAGATGGTTCTTCTGATACAGAGAAAACATTATTCCAAAGAGGTTCTTTATCTCCTGAGAGCTGCTGCTACTGTGCTAACTGAATGCCTCTGCCATCCTGGTTGCCTTGCTGTCCATCTCCTTAAGAAACTGCAAGAGGATTTTAATTAAAATGGTCATGCTGTTCCCATGTTGTTTAAGCACAAGTCATCATCAGAAGTTAACTGTGAACATGAGAGGTTTTTTATGTACTCTCCAAATTCTCTATCTCAGTTATGTGACTAAAATGGGTATTGGAACATCAGTTCAGTTTCCTAATGTTTGACTGGGAACAGTATACTTCTTCCTGGTTTCCCAGTTTGTTTTGCCTGCATAGGGCGTTCACTTTTCAAGCACTAGCTTCATTTTACCTTTTGTTGCAACGTTTAATTGCTGTAGTTGTCACAGAATGTCACATCCTCTCTTACTAGTTTACCATAACTATTGCCACCACTAGATACCACAGCGGAGAACTTTGCCCCCATTAACTCATGGCTGGCATTGCTGGGCGGGAGTAAGTTCCACTCACATTTTAATAAATGGAACAGATAACAGAATATTCAAGAACTTTGTGAGAATATTTTGAATTTCTTTACTCTGAAATGTTAACTAGTGAGAGAGCAGCTCCTAAGCAAAGCAGCCTACACATTTTTTTTTCTTTTGCATTAGTTTAAATTAAAACTTAGAATTAACAAGATGCTTCTTACCATGCTGACTACTGTGGGCTCCTAGTGCTTCCACAAAACATTTCTACCATAAGTTTGTGCTTTACAAGGACAGGGTGGTATGGGGAGCTTTCCCCATACTACAGCAGCTAGGATGGGAATTTGCCATTAGTTGAATTCCAGTCTGTGTCGCAGAAACTGAACTGTTTGGGTTAAGTAAAGGTTTACAGAAGAGTTTGATTATTCAAGATAATCATGCTGCTTCTGGAGAAACTTTACATCTTTCAGTTTCTTTAACCAGCTCATTCAGTTTAAATGTATTCTTTTTTCTTTTACTGTAACACTTTTTATAGAGCCCCACCTCTTTTGCACTGTAATAGGCCTTAGGAAACAAATGAAAGACTATTTTGGTGACCTACAAAGGATAGCATGGCTATTCCATTTATTCACAAAGAAAAGTTGACATGGAAGAAGCATTCAGCGAATGTTATTTTACAGACTTCTTGTACAGTAAGATTAAAACTGCCAAATATAATATGTTTTTGTCTTTGAGCTACAATGACAACAGTTGCTATGATTTCTTACCAGAAAAACAGATGACAATTCATACTCCAGAAGCTATCATTTATTTTCATTCTCTTTTATCCCACAGCGTCCTTATCCTTTTTGAGATTGGTTTTTTTTATCCCCTAAGGAAATTCCTGATTCTTTTATATATTCTGTATTTCTTTCTATTTATTCACCGTAGCACATACTGTATGTGGAGCACATGAAGACTGCAGTGAGCAGATCACCCGATTACTACAAAAAATGTGGCCACTCTTCATGGCCTGTGTGCACATTCCAAAAAAAAGGGATGTGTTTGATTATTAACTGTCAATTAGCGGTGTACTAGACAGATTCAAAGCATGCTTAAGGCAAACAAATGTCACTTTAATATGCTAAATGATCTGAAATAAGTTTTTCCCTGAATTTCCGTCTCCCTTTCTTGATATATACGTGTGTATAATCACCAACGTATCTTAAATATATTTTGTGTAATCATCACTGAAACACTTAAAACACAAAAACTAACCTGGGAGAAAGGGGAATATAAATCTAGTATTTATACATGGAGACTCCTGACCACTATCTCCATGGCAATACTGTTCAGTATCAAAACCTTAAACTTGATATAAGTTACAGCAGGAGTCGTGCCTAGTGACACAGATTAATACTAACCCAAGTAACCTCAGCTGTTTGCTATTTTAATCTGCATCAAATGTACTTCAGCTACAGTGGAGATGGTAGCTCTGAAGTTAAAACAAAGTGAGGCAGCTCGTGTCCAGATGGACGGGTAAGCACTTGGTACCCACAGCTAAACAGAGCAACCGTACAATCTGCTTAACATTATCTCTAACACAGACTTTAATATTGTTTTCTGTCACCCTTTGGATTGTCTTTATATCATTCAGTGTCACCCTATGCTACATCATATCGGCCATGGTAACTCCTAAAAGAAGTTAGAACAAGAAATTTTTGGTTATATTGATATAAATTATTGTAATGCAGTTCAGATGGGAAGGAACAGGCGAGCCTGCTGCACACAGCCAAGCTGGTGGGCAGCGAGCTTTGCAGCAGCTGCCCCCAACCACCCTGCCAGCCCCAGCCCCGCAGCTGCTGCGCAGAAAGGGACTGACAGGTCTGTCAGCTCCTGAAAATGAGTTGCCGAAAGCCAAGAGCCCACAGGTTTAAACACCTCAAAACCACACATCGTGTTTTTTCACATTGCTGGACTTTGTGAAAAATAGAGGTACCATGAGGATCCCAGTATTTCTACATTCCACAAAAGATGAAGTGGTAAAAACTACAGCGACATTTGTCTATCAGGAAGTTCATTTAAAACAATTTACTATAAAAATGAATGTAAAATTTCTGAAAAAAAAGACAAGGAGCAGTTGATCACCTTACAGAAGCTGTGTATAGCTGAGTATGAGCAACATGCATAGTTTAATTAGAGAACGTGAATGGAGTAGGCAGTGAAAAGAAAAAAATATGAACAGAGCCAATCAGATACTCTGATTTAAGATTTCTGTAAAAAAAACTATTATCTGTAAAGCAAAAGGAAAAAGCAGTGCACAACTCAGATCCTTTGTCCAGGTGACAAGGCAGTACAAATTCATAGTAAAAAATGAATGAGAGAAATATGGAAGTACAGGCCAAGAAATTGTATAGTAAAAGCTTTACAAAAGATGTGTGATGAACGGTATTAGATGTGTTGCATGCAGCAAAACAGTCGCTTTCAAACGCTGTTCTAGGGGCACAAGAATGAACTTGAATTCCTGCAGCGTGAGGCTAACTGGGGACTTGTTTGGCGTATCAAACCGAAACTGGCCTGCGACAGTTAATGCAAGAAATTATATCGAGCACTTTGATATGAATACCCCATGAGAATGATCAATAACATTACCTCCAGAATACCCATTGGAAATTTTTCCTGACCTTCATGTCTGTCAAAGATTTTGACAAGGGCCACTAGATTGTTGAAGGGATAAGTATTGTATGTTACTCACTCACTTCCAAGTTTACATTTAAAAGACCATCATTTGGCATTGCAACAGCACTGTAGATCTGGAGAAGCTTTCACTGTAAGTTATGTGATGCCTACAGCTGTGTGAAATTAATCTAAATAACATAATAGAATCACAGAATTGTTTTAGGTTGGAAAAGCCCTTTAAGATTATTAGGTCCAACCATTAACCTAGCACTGCCAAGTCTACCCCTAAACCATGTCCCTAAGCACCACACCTACACATCTTTTAAACACCTCCAGGGATGGTGCCTCAACCACTTCCCTGGGCAGCCTGTTCCAAAGCTTGATAACCCTTTCAGTAAAGAAATTTTTCCTAATATCCAATCTAAACTTCCCCTGGTGCAACTTGAGGCCATCCCCTCTGGTCCTATCGCTTTCACTTGAGAAAAGAGACTGATAGAGGCACAATATAACAAAATATAGAAATTACAAGAAAAAATAAATTTTGTGAAAGAAAACGAACTTTATTTCATATTTATATCTTTTGTGCACATCAGTAACCACCCTTGTACCCTGACAAGTCATCTGCTTCGTAAGGGGTGAGGAAAATACAGAGGCTCATGGCAGTGTTCCTCAGAAGACTGGGAGGTAACTGGCCTGCAAGAGCTGCCACAGCACTCCGCTGCCTGCAGTTTGGGGCAGCGCTGGTGTTCATGACCGTGCACATGTTTTGATGGCAGCATCTGGGATTTAGCAACGCCGAACACAGACCAACGCCCTGTGGGTTTGACTGCCACCGACTCCCCACCTGCACGGCAGACAAGGAGGGGTTGAAGGGATCCAGCAGAGCCCCAGGGCTGATGCCTCCAGGGCCATGGGTGCCAGCCAGGGAGGAAGCATGTGGGACAGTGCAGCTGCGGAGCATCGGCCCCGAGGCTGCCCGATGTCAGGCCACGGGAGCTGCTAAGGCCTTCTACACTAGTATTAACCGTTCTGCCATTTCAGTTGTTCTCCCTGTCAGCGGTGATGGCTGGCTGCTCTACCTCATGTCTATTATCAAGTTATTACAACCTGAAAATATCCAACAGCAGAAAACAAAGTTGTCTATCAAGATAAACATAATTGAAGTTAATGTATGAATTGTAAAAGAAAATCTGTTCTATCCCAAATTGGCACCTGAGACAGCATAAACAGTAAAATACAAGTACCCCAAATTTTCTTTTAAAGGCTGTTATGTGCAGTGTGAATTGGAATTGAGGTTTTTATGCTTTCCATTGAGCTCTAGGTGGCCTAATTCACCCTCTCCAAACATTTCATTGCCTGAAGCGAAATAGTGTCTGTTTAACAAGAGAGCACTCACTATTTCAGGCTACCCAGTCACTAGACAACTACTGTAAACCAGTGGATGATATGACCTAACTTACTTGTTGTGTGTGTGTCTTAGTACTGGACAGATCATTATCTACAGTGGAACGTGTCTGAGTACCCGGGAGTGAAGAATGTCCGTTTTCCAGATGGACTGATTTGGAAGCCAGATATTCTTCTCTATAACAGGTAGACACACTTTCTTTTGTATGGGGAAGGAGAGAAGATCATAGAATTATAGAATCACAAAATAGCCCAGGTTGTAAGGGACCCTGAAAGATCAACCGGTCCAGCCTTTCGTGGGAAAAGGGGCCCACATGAGATTATCTAGCACCCTGTCCAATTGCAAAGATAAGGGAAGGCAAGTAACATAATAATCTCAACAAAATCCCTAGGTTTTGAAATATTTTTCCAAAATTGTCTAGGTTTTTGGAATACTGGAAAATTACCAGTCTCCTGTATACACAATACTTTTGTTGCAAATGCTTTGTAAACCATGACATCTTCCCTACCACCAATTCTACTTAGCTTTTGTGAGATGATTAGAAAACAAAACTTTTCTGGCTGTGTTTAATAGCACAGATAGTGATAATTTCCTCTCAAATTTTTTGTCTAAATGTTTAGTGGTTAATTCACATCTGACTTTTGACTGCTTGTCTAGTTAGTTTGGGTTCCACTAGAGGCAGGATAGGTAAATGCCAGTAAGTTTGTTTGCATTTTCCCTTGTCTCCAGTTTTGGTGTTGGTCTTTCTTCCTGCTACAAAAATAGCTAGAATATTTGGTGCTCTCCTCTTCAAACTATCTGTTCTGAGTTGGGCTTAGTTCAGGGACAGACAGATTGCCATCAGTCTGCCACTGCAGAACCTTTGGCTGACATTGAGAGATTCTTTGGCTGCACCATTATATAGTAGTTCCCATTGTGGGATTTATTTAGTTTAAAAAGATAAAGCACTGAGAGTTGTCTGCTCTTAAACAACTTGCCTTTTTCTGCAGTTGCTGTGAGCCTGTGTGCTGTTCCCCAGGTACCAGAAAGACCTTACATCTGCTTTGGACATGCTGCACTGGCTCTTTTGTGGTAGCCAGGGTACGCTGTTATTTTATTGCCCATGCAGATGACATGAACCTTTTGTCTTCCTGATGGCTTTTTTTCCTCTGTTTCTCTGCCATATGTCTACTAAGAAGACAACCCCGCTCTGTTTATCAACCCGATTCCCCCTCCCCACTTTGGGAGCTGCTTTTTGTTGCAACAGGACCTAGAGAACAGCTGCACCCAGCGTGTCAGCTGTAGTCATGCTCCCTTTTGCCATTTGGTGATCACCATTATGATCAATGGCACTGTCACAGGTGGTGTTGAGTTGTGATGATATGGTAACAGCACCCAGCGGCAACATTTGTCAGCCACTTAGTACTTCTCTATGGGGCCTTCATTACTGCTTTGCTTACAGCATGCTGCAGTGCTTCTCCCAAAGGTACAATTAACACTCAGTGATTCGAGGCAATCTCCACTGGAGTTCACCATACTTATGGTGAAACTATGCCTGTCAAGATTACTTCTTCTTTCTGGTTTAAGCATGGCAATTAGCGCTTCAGTTGTCTACACACCAGCCTAAAAAACCTTTCAAATGCTCTGTACGCAAAATGGAGCGGCATGCAACCTGGACAGGTGTTTTTGCAACATTAATCTTGCTTAATGTATTTTTCAGTGCAAATTTATTCTCTTAAGCATTTACTCCTAGCTACCTTGATTCCGTAAATGAAAGCATTCTTGGGAGAATCCAACAAATCAAGCATTCATTTCTATTCTTCTGCTAAATATCACACTGTATATGCCGTAAAACTGGTACTCTACGACAGCAGTGTAGAGGTTTCCAAAGGAGAGAATTATGACAGTATTATTCCTCACATATATCACATACCTGAGAGAGACTTTCAGTATGTCTGAGGATTTATGCTTCAATATTTAAGTAAGTATATCCAAAAAGAAAGGGTAAATTTCTTAGAAATTAGTAACATTAATACATACATGCTAACTGTAGCTGAAGCGCGTTATAGAATGAGAAGGGTAACTTAATAACCTGAAAAACTGAAACCACTAGTTTTCTGTTAGTACAGGTTTTTGAATCTTGGGATTGTTAACTATGGCCCAGTCATGAAGTAGTTATTCTACAGTGTTTCTGTTTCGAACGTATATTTAATCCAAAATCCTATTCAGAGTTTAGTCAGAGAACAAAGCTATTTAAAACAAATTCTTATTGCTGTAGGAAATTGTATTGGGAATGTTATGATGTTCTCATATAGTGACATGGTATTTTGAGATAGATGCTTTCAATTTCTATACACTTCACTTGGGACATACATTTGCAGTTACAAAGAAATTAATGAACTATGAATTCATTTTTCATTTTAATGAATGCATGTTTTGCTGTGTCTTGAGTCCTTATGCATCTTGCTGCAGCCTAATACAGAGAAACGTGTGGCAGCTGTATTAAATTTTGCAACCAGTCTATTGTGAAGAGAGCAGAGCCAGTTCATCTGTAGCTTTTCCTGAGGGAAGAAAATCTTGGCCTATGTACAAATTCCAGGACTGACTGTGTTAGCGTCATGTATGGCGCTCTTCCACTTTGTTGGTTTTAGTAGACTTAGTAAAAGTGCTCATTTCTGGTGGTATTATTTTCCAAATAGCCACACAGTGCTCAGTACTTCATGGAATAACAAAAATTCTGGTAGTTATGTCTCATTTTAACAGTTTCATTTTTGTAGTTTTATAAACCTGAGATTCTCCAGATAGTGGGATTATATATGCTAGGTACAGCTTTGTCATCTCAATGTACTGCAGTCAGTATCTCCTTTCAAGTGGTTTTACCCGGAAGACGAAATGTAGGAGAAATGGTTTTCTATCATCACATTTGAGCACAGTCTCATCAAGCAAAGGCTTAGCTACTTGGTGCATTCCTAATTGAAGCACTGCATTTCAAGAAACAATTAGAAGCACCGTGTAGAAAAACACATATGCTCCTTATTTAGAAAAAAGAATTTCATATTTGAGTCTGCGTACTTCTTGATAGTCTTTTAAGAACGCATCTTATGCAAGGCAAAGTCACATGGCAATGAAACCTAGGTTCCTTGACCACTTGTGTCCTTTTGAAAATTTTATTTTTGCCAATTACCAGAAACAGCAGCGAGGTCTTAAAAGCAACCCTCTGGTGCTTAACTGCCCTCCTCTCGAGGGGAAGGGAACATCGTCTAGCCTAGGAGGCTAAGAATTTTATTTCTAGTCATTAATTTCTACTTTACAGGTAATTTGTGTGGCATGGATGTTCTCACATTCTAAATCTGTCTGCTTGTTTGAGTTTCATCATGTAGCCCTTGTAATTTCAAGTCACAGCACTTACTTGTCTATGTCTAATATAGAAACCTGTTGCAGGACTTGTAAGTCTGGTTTTTTAAGGAAGCGAGACTTCTGCACGTGTGTGCGTACACACCTGTGTGAATGTGTATGGTCTTTCTTGCTGCCTCTTTCCCCGATATCCTCTGAATCCATTTCTGCCGAATCTAGCAGCGCAACCAGTAGAGATGGCAGCAGTGCCGGTTTCTTACAGATCTCATGGAAGCAGGCAGCCAAGACAAGGAGGGAACAACTGGTGCTCCACCCAGAAGGGAAGTGGCCACACTAACCCAGGGAACCCGGGCATCAGCTGGGAAGCTGCAGGAGAGCGGCCCACATTAGTTCAACTGCCTTAGAACTGAATTGCCCTTTCCCCTCAAAGTGCTGGAATCCATACACAATATTTAGACTTTTCTACTTGTCTTCAGAGTTCAAATTGAATAGTTGCAAAGCTTTTCAGCACTGTGAGCCTTCGGCTCACCACAGGTAAAAGTGCAGCTCCAGATGGGCAAGTAATTATTTGGATTTAGTTTTTTCTTGTCTGGATATTTCACTGACCAGTCCAGATATTTTTTAAATGTAATTTCTTCAAATACATAAGGGGAAAATAAAATGCAAAGTAACAATGACTAAAACAATGATTGCTTTAGCTTTTAGCTTCTGAGATATAAAATTTGCAGCAGAATAGATCAAGTATTAAATTCCTCTTCTTAAAAAAGAATGTTTCAATACAGGTTTTCCTACTGGAACAATATACCATTTATTATACTTTCTTTTCTGCTAGAATTATGAATATTTCACTTTCTCCCCATCTCAGATTCTTATACCGTATTTTTCTGATGATGTTTTAGATGGTGATTAGAAAATTATGAGATACTAAACCTCTAATAGGCAAAGAGACATCGGAGACTTGTCATGTTTAAATCAGCCCAGAGACAACACAGGTTTTTAGCTGAATGAAAGCACAGACTGCATCAAGAAGCCGGACCCTGAGGCTCGTGCCACCTCCTTTGCCCTGCCCCAGAGCGGCTGGCACTGTGTTTGCCTTGTGTGCCAATCCATCCCCACAAGGTGACTTTGGAAACTACAAATAATACAACAAAATAAAGCAGCCACAAGCGAAAGCCCGAGAAAGGAGCCTGTATCTATATTCAGGGCCAGCAGCCATCAGACTTGAACTCAACACAGCAGTTCCTGAAATAATTTTGAGATGCAAAGATCATTCACTGCTAGCACCTTCTGTGCAATTTAATCTAGCCACCAATTTCAACAACTGCCATGATTTCTTGAATACCTAGATCCTGAACTTTAAAGCATGTATAGATCAGAATCTGTAATACCTTACCACAGAAAACCTGCAGTAGTAAATGGGAGTGGTGAAGTAGGGCACAATACTGCATGAGTACGCATCCATTGCAATGCTAAGTAATCCAAACATCTTTCATAGAGTGATTTAAGTCAGCAAACTTACTAAACTTTACATAGGAAAGAGTCTTGTATTTAATCATCATAATATTTCAAAATAGGTTGTTTCCCATCTAGAAGTTCTTAAAATTTTAATGCCTAGTGAATTCCTGGGTAATAGTGTCAGATGTAGTTGAGATATTCCTTGGCAGTATCTGCACATTCATAACTTGGAGCACTCTACAAGTAACATTATGATTCTTTTCTGGAGATGTGTAAGAACAGCACCCCAGAGTGGCCCTGGCCAGCATCACTACACTGACACCTCTAATAGGGTTTCTTTTATTTTGCTGAACCCAGTTTCTGAGTTCTGAAGTAGACAGTGAAGGCTGGAGCAGCACTAAACAGTTGTATGTATGACATGTAGTAATAAAGTTCAGCCATGCAAAGGGCTGAAGCAGCCATTTCCTCAGTATTCACTAGCTGCTGTTAATGTAGAGCAAGAGAACAGTTGGTGCTGTACAGTTGCTTGAGAAGTTTTAACAGCGCTTACTTTGCAAATGGCAATCAATAGAGCCGAGGCGCTGTAGTGAATGTAGTGCGATAAGTGAGCAGCAAGAGTGAGGGGGCTCACCTTCACTGACTGTTGTTAATCAGGAACAAATCCAATAGGATCAGGCCAGTTACTCTGAGGCCACAGAAAACTGGCCACAGAAAACTGGTGACAGGAGAAAAGCTGTCAAGTTTTTTGGGAGAAATAATTCTTTTATGAAGAATGGATTTGTCTCAGATATTCTTCAGCCAGTCAAAGATGATATAACCCATTTTGTTTCTTCCCTATTCTAGTGCTGATGAAAGATTTGATGCTACATTTCACACTAACGTTTTAGTCAATTCTTCAGGACATTGCCAGTATCTGCCACCAGGTAGGCTGTTCTCATGTCGTAAATTTTGATAACTCAGACTGCTGATGTATGGTGCGGTTTCAAATTTGACATCAGTTCTCTGATATTTTATTTATCTAGCTAGAATCATCTGATAGATTTAAGCCTAGATACATCATGAATTACACGGTTAACACTTCTATATGAAAACCACCAGACAAGATACATTTTTTGTTGCAATTAGGTAAATTCTTCTCTCATCATGCAGAATTTCAGAAGTGTGGAAGTATAAAGGAAGATAAAAAATAAAAGCCCTTAATATAAAAAGATACTGTTTATTAAAGCCATGGTAATGCTTCTTAATAAAAATTTATTTCACTATTTTAGCTGTTTCTTCTATTAATACTTTATGATGAGGTGGTTAGTAACATCTTGGATGTATCTCCTATTTGAAATGATTCACTGGATGCTGCATCAAAACAATTTTTAGTCTGAAAGTAGTCTGTGTTTGATATTTATTTAATATCAGAAATACATCACTGACTCCCTAGATGTATAGCAGTGGAGTACTGTTTCTGTTCCCAGACTCAATTAGCATCATTCTTAGAATTAACTCTTCCTAGAATCTGAATTTTAGAAAAGACAGCAGTAGAGCCAAGTGCTTTCCAGGCAAATTAGTTTTTCCATCTAAGGTCCTCAGAGGATTTCAGGGCTTTGCCTGTTGTTCTTTTGATTTAACATGTTCCATTTGGTGGGGTTTTTTTTCAATTCAATTCTGAAAGCTGCTAAATGACAGGGCATGACTCAACTGGTGAAAAAAGAAGCTAGCTTTCCTGAATAAATCAAGCTCATGTAAATCTAATAAGACAGCAAATAATCTTTTAGGATTTCTTACTTTATTCAGTGAAATAAATAGAAGAAACAGATTGCATATTCTGCTTCATTTCTTTCTGAAATACAGTATCTAGAAATCTGAGCTCTTATCTAAATATTCTCCCACTATGTGCCAAAATGGAAATGTAGCTCAAAAAAGTAGTTTATAACATCAATACATTAATGGTGCAGTTGCTTGCCTTTTGTATGACTGACTTTTGCTATTTACATGTCAAGACACAACTGAGATTAAATATGCTTTACAAGTAAAAATCAGATGGCGCAATGTAGAACACGGTCTGGTTACAAAATGTACATGAAATTATGTGGAACAAGCATTTAAATTAAGTGTTGTTGTTTAAAATCCAATCTAGGCATATTTAAAAGCTCATGCTACATAGATGTGCGCTGGTTTCCATTTGACGTTCAGAAGTGTAACCTGAAGTTTGGATCCTGGACTTACGGAGGCTGGTCCTTGGACTTACAAATGCAAGAAGCAGATATATCTGGCTATATTTCAAATGGAGAGTGGGATTTAGTAGGTAAGCTCTTGATTTCCTATTTACACTGTGAACTTGCAGCCTTGTCTCCACTGCTGAAACGGATGGAATAATGATTGGGAAATGAAGACAGAAATTAAGCTAATAAATGACCTAGGTAGTGGCATTTGAATCTCTGAGAACAGATGTCAGATGAAAATCAACACAAAAAAGGAGGTGACAAAATTGCTGCGTGAATTCAGTAAGTATCTTTTATCTCATTTGCCTTTATTACCTGACAAAAATGACTTAATAGGGAATTAAGCTTAAGAAGTAGTTTTACCTATGGTAAAACTTAGAAAGCTACATTTGTTCTTTTTTTTTAAATAATCACTACAATTCCTGGGAAAAGAACTGAGAGTTTTTATGAATGTTGTAAAGAACCCTACCCAGATGTGACATTCACAGTCACTATGAGACGTCGGACTCTCTATTATGGACTCAATCTTCTTATTCCTTGTGTACTGATATCAGCACTTGCTTTGTTAGTTTTTCTGCTTCCAGCAGACTCGGGAGAAAAGATCTCATTAGGTAAATCCTTAATAGGATATTGTAAATATGACCAAACCAAAAGAAGTTGTCCTTTTTAAAGTTTTTTAAACAGTCTTAGTAGGCAAGAAGGAATAGCTTGTGTGCCCTATTCTGGCTCATGAGCTGTTTTCACTGACGCTGCAGCTGTGTGGTGTTTAACCCCTGCTCTCAGCTTAGGGTACACTGAAGTTGTGAAATGGAGAAATTTCAGCCAACCAAGCAGAAGCCTGACAATTCCTGACTACTTTCCTTAAGAAGCAGGGCTTCATTTTTTCATGTTTATTTGTTGAAGAAAAACCCCATGTTCACTGAGTAAAGCTTAAATTTACAAATATGCATTTGAGCACTTTAGCATAGAACTCTGCTTGATATTTTCTTTTAATAGTGAGTTCCATTAAGAGCCTAAGGTGCCTTCTCAGAAAGGCTTAGATGCTAACTGCTACTATTCTAATTTTTATGGTGATTTTTAACTAAAGTATTGGTTTGTGAAACAAATCTGATGACTTTAAGTACTTGATCCTTAAGATGGAGGTTAAATAAGTAATGAAACTTCTTGTGCAGTGGCTTCTACTAAGTGAAGATAGCTGTTAAAAGGTAGAAACAAAATTGACATTTCTCCAGAACACGGTTTGAGTAATAGCCTCCCTAATCAAGAAGTTCCCATATTTTAAGATGAATTCTTTGTTCCTAAATACTTTTCCACTTGACAATGACTCCTTATTGTTTAAAACTAGTCCTGAGAAAAGAGCTAAACCTTGTTCCAGAAAGATGGGAACTCATCACTGAGCAACACAAGTCAAACTCCAAAAATCAACAGTCAAGACTGCTTGGGCATAGCCATGTGCAGAAACCAACAGCTAATATCAAAAGATATCAAAGTCTGTCCAAGACAGCAAATCTGTTTTTCAGGAATATTATGCATTACACCATCTGTAGCTTCCACGCCAATTAATCAAGCGTCATATGCTCAAATACTCAAAATCACACCATGTTTCTAAAGCAAACAAGCAGCAAGAACTACTTTGATTTACCTCAGCTAATTAGAAAATGGTGATAAAAGCTGAACAGTTACAAGGATCTAAAACTACGTACGCCTGTGCAAGCACTGGTACTAGTTTGGCAGCACTGCTACCCTGAACTTCAGGTAGTACAAGAAAGAAGAGGAGTACCACTAATGTGCTGGTGGGAGGGTAACGGTGGGAATGTATCATGCAAAGAGCACTCCTTCAGATCCATTTGCTGCTTCTTACTGCCTTGTAATTACAAGCTACTGACCTAATTTCATACTTCATGTTTATCTTTCAGGTATAACAGTCTTATTGTCTCTGACTGTCTTCATGTTACTTGTGGCTGAAATTATGCCAGCAACATCAGATTCCGTGCCCTTAATCGGTAAGCTAACTACAGCTTTATTCACTTTCATTTTTTGTCAAATGAGGTGCAGTGACTTTGCACGAAGGCCAGCAGTAAGGCAAGTTACCACCTGTACAATGGCCTACTGCAATTGAATTAGAAAAATGTTGCCAATTGATGAGAGGTTCTGATGGGTGTGATCCCCTATACAATGTCTGTGCTTTCTGCGCTGAACAACGTAGAGGACTGACGTGTGCGTTGGGAAAGCGTAAGGGAGTCAGGTTTCCATGGAAGAAGTTGTTGCAGTTTCAACACAAGTGGCCAGACATTAGGAATACAGACCTAAACTTGATTAAATCTTCCCATTGTAATTGCTCAAACAGAAACTTTTCAAAAGAAGAAATACACAGCCTCTAGAATACTGGTGAAAGAAAATTAGAGGACAATTTTTTTCAAGGTTGCTTAGAAAAGGCAGGTGCTCAGTTCCACAAAGACAATTACGAAAGGCTGGCTATCCTCTCAAAATAATGGCTGCTCTTTCTGCTTTTGAGAAATCTTTCACAAGTACCTAAAGTAGCACGTGTATCACTACACTGGAAAAAGAACTTTATGCTATGTCAAGTACAGAAACACCCCTTATAATAGCTACAAAACAGTATCAGCCAAAGTATATTGCTGTAATTATCTGTTTATTTTGCAGCTCAGTATTTTGCCAGCACTATGATTATCGTTGGTCTTTCTGTTGTTGTCACTGTTATTGTTCTACAATACCATCATCATGATCCAGATGGGGGGAAAATGCCTAAATGGGTAAGGTTTGATTTTCATTCATTATCCATTACATAACTTTCCAGATCAGGGATGTGACAGAGTAGCTAGTGACCTATGTTTACTTCTTACTGTTACAAATCCTTCCTAAACATTTTGCTTTGAAAAGTAGTTTCACCAGAGATAAGATTTCCAGACACCTTTTGTGTGGTTGGCTTCTTAAAGAGTGTGTGTGTGCGCGAGAGAGAATGAATGTACCTCAGCTTGCTTCTATATTCAGCTAGAAGCAACCCAGGATTTTGCTAAAGCCTAAATATATAAATGAAGGTGATTTTCAAATAAGCTGCAGATGTCAGAAGTGAAACAGGTAGAAGGAAAGAGTAAGGTGCTGATGGGGATTATAAATGCATGAAGTGTACAGCCCTCAAGGTGCAACTGTGCAGCTGCTACGTATTTAGCTGCTGTGCATACAGAAACATCAATCACCTAAAAAGCACTTGTTAAAGATGGCTGTTAAAGTGGAAGTGAAACTTGCTCTGAAAATTCTCATATTTACATCTCTGGTCAAGAATGTCTGTAAAGTGCAAAGAAAAATTAAAGTCTTTTTCTAAGCACATAAGACTTTCTTTATAATGTACTGCTGTGAGTAGTCGTTTTTACAGAGACCATTGCACTGATATTGGGTTATTAAATATTGATGAGCATCATGAGCTAACTGTGCGTTCTTCCTGGCTTCACCCAGCTCATGGCAGCACCAGGCATTACTGAAGATGGAAAGACCTTTCACTTCTTTTCTTTCTAGAACAAGGAGCTATTATTCTTACTAGCCAAAAAGAATGTGCATACAGTTGTGCCCTGCAGACAAGAGATAATGAGATGTTCCCTGGCCTGTTCTGGGGTAGTGACTTTAAAATAAATTTCAGTGAAGAGAATAAAAGGTATATATCCTGAGAAGCATGTTTGATGACCTAAAGGGGAGAGATGTTTAGTACTGAGCCAAAGATCCTCAGAAAACAGAGTATTTGAGGTTGAGCAGTGAGTTTGAGTGTTGAGAAGCTGAAGTCCATTAAATATTATTTGGATACTGGTGGATTTTGGATCAGGCCTTCGGTTGATGGAATATTACCCTTCTTGGTGAAGCTTGATAGTGTAAGTAGAGTAGCAGGGCAAGATCTGTCTCTGGTTGGGATGTTTTCCTGGATATATCTACTCTGAGTGGCAATCCACAGTCAGAATAAATGGACCAAATCTAATATTAATTACAGTGCAAGATTTTCATAGTATATGAGACAATAATATTTCATTAATGCTCTGGAAAAGAAACACTGGAATGAGCTCTTAAAATCAGATTGCAATAAATTACAGAAGCTTGCATCTGAATTGGAACAGTCTCAGGCCTGCCTGCACTTTCTGTAAGGCTGGATTAAGGCAATGTAGAAAACAATGAAATGATACACACTGATCAAAGTTGCAAAGTATTTTTTTTTTAAATCAAAGTAATTTTTCCATCTTTCCTCCACGCTGCGTACAGACCTGTTTTCTAAAATCTGCAGTCAGCTGTCATGAAAACAGTGTGAGAACTGAGCCAAAACATTATAAAGCTTGGTGGTCCAGTCCAGTCTGGCATCTGTTTTAGCAGCCTCCTCCAAACAGTAATGTCATGCGAATTTAAGATAAGAGCACAAATGTGAGTGAAAGAATTGTAATTTATTGTCTACAATCTAAAGCAGCACTATTAAGACTATTTAAAATAACTCTTCTTCAGTAAGTATTTTTTATTTAATTCATGGTTTCTAGTAAAGGTGGAAAAGGCTGCCATATGGCTGTTCAAGTGTAAGGAAAATCAACACTATGGAGACTCCCATCAGAGGAGGGGGGACTTCCAGTAGTAACAGTCAGCCTGAGGCAATCAACAGCACAGCTAGAGCAAGAAAGCAGCCTCAGTGATTGGCAAATTGATTAACTGGAAAACTCTGGCACCATTTTCTAGAACTACTGTGCAGATTAAGCAGAGACCATAGTCCAGACAGTCACCTGGGCTGCAAAAATACCAGTAGCACCCAAACACAGTGGCTGTGTGAAAAGATGCTTATTCTCAAAAATTTTCTTTCAGACAAGAATCATCCTTCTCAACTGGTGTGCTTGGTTTCTGCGGATGAAAAGACCAGGGGAAGATAAAGTGCGTCCTGCCTGTCAACATAAACAGCGTCGATGTAGCCTGTCAAGCATGGAGATGAACACTGTGAGTGGACAGCAATCCAGTAATGGGAATATGCTCTACATTGGGTTTAGGGGGCTGGAAGGGGTTCACTGCACACCTACCACTGATTCAGGAGTGATCTGTGGGAGGATGACCTGCTCACCAACAGATGAAGAAAACCTGCTGCACAGTGGGCACCCGTCTGAAGGCGACCCAGATTTGGCTAAGATCTTGGAAGAGGTCAGGTACATTGCAAACCGATTCAGAGACCACGATGAAGAGGAAGCCATTTGCAATGAATGGAAGTTTGCAGCCTCTGTAGTGGATCGGCTCTGCTTGATGGCTTTTTCAGTCTTCACAATCATTTGTACAATTGGTATTTTAATGTCAGCACCAAACTTTGTAGAGGCTGTGTCTAAAGATTTTGCTTAACTACTAACTACAATCTGATTCTCTGAACTATGATATGTAGCAAATAAGAGTGTGGTTTTTATTTGATTGCTTGTTTTTAATGAGTATACTGCTTCTCATTGTCCGCTTTCTTTTGCCCCGCTCTCTGGTCCTGAGTTCTTTTCAGAAGAGCGGCATCGTTTCAGAAGGGAAGCCAAGGATTTCTCCCTGGCCTGCCTTGTGTGCAGCTCCTCTCAGCACTCTTCTGTGGGAGATGTGAAGTGGCTGTGAGTCCCTTCAGCATGACAGGGTATTGCACCATGGTCTCTTACACATTTTTGAACTGGGTATTACAAAATAACAGGTAGGAAATGCCAGCAATGTCACTTCTTCCAGACTTTGTTACAAAAGAGAGAAGGTGGTCCATCTTAACTATTTGAATGAGTGATCATAAACACTTGTGTTTAGGAGAGGATTAAATCCAAACAGATGGAAGCTCAAACAGCAGAGAGAAAAGGGAGAAGTAGGTTGCTTTCCAGTTACTGATTCTTACTGAGTTTGGTATGTAGTTCTCCAGCTCACTCATAACCAGTCAGACCCATAAATCCCTCCATCCATTTTACATAGAGCATGTATGACTTTACAGGATTCTGAATTTGTCTGACACACCAGAAACCTGACAATTAAGATGATACGCCACATAAATTGTCCTTCTATATCTTTCTGGATTTGACCTAGAAGTTTGGCCTGAATTCTTAAATAGGCTTCACAGTAATTTTTGCAGTGTTTACTACTTCTTCCTTCTCCCCAGAAAGACAGCCTTTCAGCTGATGACCTTTTTAACTATCAAAAAGAAAATGAAGGATTGATGATGCTTTTATCGCTTGTTTTTCAAAAAAATACACACACTTGTCTCTCTACTGTTAACTGGGTTCCAATGTGGAAAAAGGAACTCAGTGTCTTGCACAGGCTTAAGCATAAATGAAGAACCTAAAGCAAAAAGAAGCCATTAAATCCTGACCTCAAGGTTTTAATTTAAAAATTAAATGTTTGATCTGTTGTATGCTTAGCCTTTTACAGCCCTCCTTCTGTTGAGTCACAATAGCATGACTTTACAAGAAGACGGCACCTTTTCTGCTCAGTTTGTCATCCAAAGAGCACTAATGAATAATAAAGCTTTCTTGGGTGTGATATAAACTATGAACTGTATAAATAAATACTTACATATACACACTGCATATAAGTCCAAGGAAAGGTTAAGACTTAAATACAAATTCTCTTAAGTTTAGACAGACATTTGCAAAGGCAAACCTAATAGTTCACCACTTTATTTCTGAATCTGAAATTCGCCCAACAAAATATGCTTAGTTTTCATGTGACTTCGATATCTTAAGGAAAAGGGCTGAGCTGAGAATACCAGGACCTGAAACTTCGTGTGTACAAAACAGCTGAGAATCAGTCTTTTGCTGGCACACCAGTATTCCTGACCAGTGATCTAAGTGGTAAAAGATGTCAGGGAGGATTACTTTAGCATTGATTGCTTGCTTTATCCTACATAATCCCAAGTTTTTGGCTGCGGTCTTCAAAAGCACAAATGGAGGCCCGTAGTTGTACCGTGTTTTTACTGTGAAATAAAGTCAAGGCCTCAGTTTATCTCTTAAACTGGATTAAAATAAAGTTATTGAAATGCTTGTTCTCCCTAGGTAACAATTTCCTTTTCAGAGTCTGCTTCCCTGAAAGCAGGAGAATCAAATTTCATGTAAACCAAGCCCAGAGTCACCACAGGTACAGTCCATTACCTGAGTGAACACCTTGTTCAAGCACATTCATGCCAGAGAAAAGGGCAGGAAGAGTGAAAAGAAGGCAGGATATTTCTCAAAGTTTGTGAATTCTGTCTTCCTGAAGGCACATTCAGAATCTCACACTGCAAAGCATTTGAATCCTTCTTGAAAGCTCATCTTGAAACCATGTCTCAGAGTTATCAGTGAAGAAGCAGTATTTTCAGGAACAATTATTGAGAATTAGCCATGCAATAATTCCTGAAAATAGTTTCTAGTTTGTAGATTGCATATGAATAGGAAACGATGAGTCCAAAATCTGAAATGTGAGTTTTGTTCATTTGTGTATAACTACACATACCATGTGGCATGTGCTGCTCTTGAGTAATGTTTCCGGACTAGGCTTCCTGATGCAATTGTTGATTTTCATCAGTATTTTTCCCTTCTGCAGTATCTCTAAGAAGCTACGTAGAGTGTTCCATTTAGTCTTTGTAAAGTTTTGGGGTTCTCTTGGAGAAGAATTTTTCAAGAAGAAATTAAGACTTTGGGGGACTACCTTGTACAATGGGACACAAATATGGCAATCATAATACATGACGCATGTAATATAGGAAGCATGAGAGTACCCTGCTTTCCACCAGAACCCATTTACAGTATCTGTAGAAATCATCTTGCTAAATACAGGGCTTCTTTATAGAAGGATGGAGAAAGCAATTTACAATTTGACAGTGAACTTCGTTATCAATGACAGACATGCCTACGCTTAAAAGCTGGAGACAGGTATTTGGCCCTTAGTAAAGCCCTGCCCAAGTCTGTGACACTGAGTTTGAAATACTGTCAAAGTTTGTAATACTGTCGGCAGATACCAGCTGTTAGACAAAGTATCTGTAAGACACCAGCATCACGCCTACACTACTGCCTTTATTGTTGGCAGGATTAATGAAAATGCACCAAGGGGACAAGTGAATCCTGATTTTCCTACTGCTAACACAACCTGTAAATATTTGGTAGTAAGATTATTATAAATTTTAAATACAACAGTGACAACTTCTCAGTTATGTTATTTTGCATCTATGAGTTAAATTTTCCATAACTGACCTGAGCAAAAGTGCTATGTTTCTTGTCAAATTGTGTGCATCCTAAATATATTTGTGTATGTGCTAAACAACATTTTGATCTAAATGCTGGGAAAAAGTACTTATTTACAATTCTGGGCATAGAAATGGAAATTAAATAGTGTATACAGTATGTGTATATAATATTAAAGACTACATATTGATGGTAAAGATCTGTTATAATCTTAAGAGTCCAGAGAGAGAATAAGCAAGTGGTTCACCACAGCTAAGCTATGACTTGTCTGACAAGTTCAGAAGCTCACTAGAGCTCAGCTGTCATGTACAATACTATGTGTGAACAATGTATATTACTTTTTCTGTTTTTATATTGTATTGAATATTTAAAAGACTTTTTAATATTTTAAAATTTTTATTTAAGTGTTAATGCCAAAAAAGTTCCAAACATAAAATTTTTAAAGGTTAGTTTTAAATACAGATGAATTATTTAAACAGTATTTAAAATATTAAATTATTTTATATAGGAATTGATAATACTATGTAAGACTTTTTTTAAAGGTTTCTTTAAACTCTCTTTACATTCTCTCTAGCTGCAGGTTGTAATCTCAGTTCACCTGTGACAATTCAACTTTTCACCTTCTTCACAAGGAAAAGAAGGTAAACCAAAGTCCCAGATTTTCTTTCCTTTTGTTATACTATTTTTTACATTAAGAAACATTGCATAAAGGGCATTAGAAAGAGATACTACATCTGTCAGGTACTGATTGTCATATAAGCAATTCAATACCTTTTCAGTCCAGTACAAATAAAAGATTTAGATCAAGAGACTTCTGATTCTTTCTCATTTTGCTAAGATGGAAATAAACTTAAGCAGTAGAAGGTATGAATAGCCATAAAAGAAAGAAAAATGTCTTTGGATGTATCAATCTGGGATGAGAAAGGTCTTTGATAATTAAAAATACATTCATATCCTGCTAGCAAACCAGTCCCACACCAAGCATACATTACTTCAGTCTTATGTAAGCGCTCAAAGTTAACCAAGTAGGACTGAAATACTGTGTAAGTTTTGGACTGACCTCAATGCCAGTATTAATTTACTTCTTGAAGTTTAACACAGAAGAGAGAAACAAGAGAAAAACCAAATCCACACCAGCTGAGTAAACTGTTGGTTTTGCCAACTGCAAATTTTGTTTGTTGGCTACTGGTGAAAAAACACCTCATCAGCAGAACACCCCCAGATTATCCCCCCAAACATGTCAGTGTAGTTTTTTGCTGAAACAGCTTCCTATCTTTACAACATCCTGCTGAGCACATGCCAGTAGTGAAAATCGAACCTAAGACTGAACCTAAGACTTTATTCTCTTATTGCTTCCACAAGCTTGTAAGAAACAGCTGATGAAGGCCACTTTGATCAACACACCGAGTCATACAAGCATGTAGTTGTTACTGAATCCAACCTGTCTTTGGATAAGAGCTGCCATGGGTCACAGTGTCAGGTACTCAGTTGAGGCTCATGCTGACAGCTGCTCACTCTGCCAAGCCAATATACCTGCCCTCTCTTCTCGAGCGCTGAGAAGCAGGATGTATTACCTCAGACTTACTGTTGTGCTTCAGCATGGTCAGACAGGTTTAGCTCAGCCCACACCAGTCTTTTTCCTGGCACTGTTTATAAACCCACCAGCGCACATACTCCATCTATGAAGCATTTGTGAATGGGGATTAAAATCAGACTGGTGTCTGCTACCACTCTCAGGCATCTGGTTTGTTATCAGGCAGACTGAAAGCTGCTACGGTTTAGGAGTTCACTCACGAGCAGATCCAACGTCACTGCCCTGTGGCTGGCAATGTCCATCAGAGCATTGGGTCTTGTGGCTATAGAGAGTAACAGTAGCAGCCAGTCAGTTTTAATACTGTAAGAACAATCAGAATGTGTTTTCTCTTCAATAAAACTCATTTCTTAGACTAACCTCACGATATTAAAATATCAGTAAATCTTAAAAGGCTATGGACAGAATCTGCACATATGTTACAGCAAATCTAACCTGGTAGTCAAACAGGATCTCAGCAGGACTATTACCACAAATGGAAGCCTTTCACTATTCTCTTTTTTTTTTTTTTTTTTTTACATCGCTTCAGCTGCTTAAAAGAAAACCTTAATGTTTATGTAACATTTATTTGTGTTATTAAGCAATTTGCAGATGATGGCATAGAGAGAGAATAAACAACAA